TGAATCTGCTTCCATGCAGCGTATATGACCTCAGACTGATACTGTCTCTTGTGTAAATGTTTACTTAGAAAAAATGTTAGATGCTTATTAACCTGACACTGTAAAGGCTTCAGTCTAGCAAGTAAATATCCACATTATTTTCAGAACTCATTATTTCCCAATTGGTTATAATGGCCTCTTCCAGAGCCTTAACAACCTGTTGTATAAATGCACAACTAAAGGAGAGGTAATAACATTCCACATAAAGTAGTTATTGTGCAAAGTCAGATGCTTTGCAGAGTTTAAGATTTCAAACCACTTTATTTTTTTTTAATTCTGCAGTGATTCAGCTGCTGCATATTATAGATTAAATGCTCTCCATATTTTCATATTGTAATGAGAAAGCTGCAGGTCTATACTGTGAATTAATTGCTTGTTGAACTTCATATTATAAGGCACTTTTATATCTCCAAAAAATGAACAAGCATTAAAATTACAAACACAAATTTTTCATAGGTGTATAGTAAATATCAGTGTATAAGTAAAACCATGGATGGTTTCAGAAACTTTATTTACATGTAGATCGTTGACACACAGCTTCTCATCATGAAATGTTTTGCTGCAATAATATTATATAAAATATATTTTATGTAACTGGTAAAGATTGATTAACTTAAATCCCTTATTTTTATGTGTATATGGTATATATTCCAACAACATCATTACATGCATAGTACATTACTCCATGAACACTCCCTTTGAAATCACTGGTGTCTACCTGATGAGTAAAGTGCTATTTAGTGCATATTTGAGTAAAGTTACTGGAATCTGCCCTGAGTTTATTTTATTATTAATTTAGGACAAAATTATGGTGTGGTTTATATAGTCAAAGGAGGTCCAGGAGGAGGGCCACCTATGTAACCTATGCAAATGTATAATATGCATAATATAAATAATAATAAAATAAATATACAAATGATAACATAAGCCATATAAGTTATATTTTAGGGATGTACAGCATGTCAGATGTTTTCATATTATAATGTAACTTTTTTTTAAGCTTTGGAGTATCCAAACCTTGATGTCTCAGAATCAACTAGAGATTACTGGGTGATTACAGGTACTGTTTTATTTCTATGGAGAATTATATTTAAGGTTAAGTCCTCAAAATATTTGGCATCCTTGTTCTAATTATTTCTGCTTTTGAGATGAAGACAAAGCCCAATGAAGAGACCATGTTCCATTTTCTCACAGGTTTCATTCAAAGTCCATTGAAATCAGAGAAAAGATTCCACTGATTTCAAAATGTTTTGGATTAGGTTTTGTGAAATAATTCTCTAGTTCTTGGCCCCACAAAATTCCCATTGGCTAAGTGGGATATTGTAAATATGCTAGTAGGAATTATGCTTTGAAAAACCTGCAAGTAAATGCTTTAAAGCTCTGAAGTGCCTCTTCAGAAATAGTGAAAGCAGATGAATGCAGTTAGTGTATGACAGTGGTTCTCAAACTTTTTTGGATAACCTACTACTTTTTAAGTCTGTTGTATCAAGTGCTTTGTATCCCTATGATTCTCTCTCGCACGCAACAAAAAACCCCCACTTTGAGCTGAATTGTATCGTGCTTTACACAGTTTGTGATTCTGTTCCCCATGCGTGGGGGCGAGGTGGCAAGGAGTGCCAGCATGGGGAGGAAGCCAAAGGGTTCTGCCTTTGGCTCCAAAAACTGATTGGTTACAGCACTTGCGCAGGAAGCAGGAGATCCTGAACAAGGGCCCTAAGCAATCAGTGACTGGAGCTAAAATATGCAAGAACGTTTCTTTTTTTCCTTTCCCTTACTAGTCAGACTTTTGCTGAGAAGAATTTTGTGATAAATACACACACATAGCCATATACCTGCCTGGCTACTATGTATCCTACTGCTCATGCTCAGTAATTATGTAGATGCTTACACTTACATGTCTACACTGATTACCACACTGGGAATAGAATTGCAAACTGTGCATAAATGCTAAAATGCCACTTACATGGCTGGAAAACTGCCAATTGGATATTTAAAGGGTAATAGAATTGTCCCTTATATCTATATAACTAAGCCTCTCTTACAACCTAATAGATACTGTAGAGTTAGTTATTTTATCTTCTTCCTTTTCTTATGGCTTCCTGTTTCTTTCTCTTGGGTACCTTCTAGAAGTGTGCTACATACCCTGAGGTATACCTAAGTTCAAGAAATGTTCATGTACTGTGAATTCTTTAAGACTCTGGATTGTATTAAATCAAATGTGTATTCAATAATGATTTCTACTACTGTTCATTACCTTAGAATACCGAATATTTTTGTCAAACTATCCTGTAGAATTTCAATTTTAAATTTGCAGAGTATTGGATGAAAAACTATTCCTTTTTTGCCTAACAAAAGCATCTAGGTGGCCTTCTGATGAGCATAAGAGCAGACAACCCTCAAGCAAGTTTTCACTTAAGGGTTGGCTTCTATTTTGCTTTGAAGTTTGGTGTAGATTGAGTTTCTCAAAAGCTGTTTGGTAAACTAAAAAGCGAAGAACACTGCCGAAGGATTTTCTTCTCAGTGTACAGAAATGTAGTTGACAGATTATCTGAGAAGAATAGTACGCTGACTGGAACGCAGGCACATTATACTCGCAATGGGAATTATTGAGATTGTGTAATTTAGGTGAAATCATGTCAGGTTGTTTTTCTTCCAAAGTAGCTTGTACATCTTTGTCACAAGTACTACTTTAGCTAATGTGTTATTTCATTTGTCCCTGCACAATCTGCTGATAAATGATTTTCTCCATTCTCACAGTTATACAAGGGGTTGACATTACATTATTGGGATTGAACAACCAGAGCTTTGCAAGATTGATGGAGCAGCGTCTGGCCCCACTGTTCATGATGTCCCATCAACAAGGAAGACGATTTAAACGTGCTACTACAGTGGGCAGCTACACTGTGCAGGTCGTCAAATATTAGCTGTATCCAGATACTTTAAAAGGAGTCTTTGTCTTCATAGATTGATGTGAAAAACATTTAGATGGAATGAGTTTGGCCATCCTTACTTGTGAATATCAAGGCAGTAAATGAGTAATGTTAGGTCATCACAAATGATTTCTATTTAAGAAATCAGGCAGGTTATATATATTTTCATGTCTCTTCTTCATTGGAAATTAACATTAGTTAATCTGCACTTAAAGGATATTTTCCCTTTTGTCTGCTATGTAATTTGTTGTTACATGCAAACCTTAGCAGAAATAACCTAGTAGTTATTGGTAATTTAACGTTGGGAAGAGATATATTTTTCTATTTTCAAGGGTGATAGGATAATTTGTCCTAGGTCTTCTGTCATATGAGCTAGGAAAAGCTGTATCTGACTTCTGCATTGTTCTGGGATTCTTTGCAATGCAGTCAGGGATTAGTTTTAAATAGCTTTGGTTTGAAAATTGGATGGCCGCAAGCAGATGAGGTTTTGAGCCCTGAGTGTTTTTCTATTGATCTATCCAGGATACAGCCATTGTGGACTGCCTTCTTTCTCTCATTTGGTGGCATTTCTCACTCGGTATTCCCACAGGAGCACATTCTGTCTCTGCACAAAATTAGCCAGCTGCTCTAATGAAATGAAATTCGGTATTTTCTGTTTGCAATTTCAAAAGCCAAATTGTCAGTTATTTTCTGTAGTTTCTCACCCCCTTACAAATGTCACTTACTGTAATATATAAACATTTTTTTTCATTCTGTATTTTAAAAATTTGTCCCACAGTTCTGGGATTGTAATGTGAAACAAGTTTTTAAAAGAAGGGAGGATTTTTGTTGATGAAAGCATTTACGTTTGCAGCATATCACATGAAAGCAGGCCACTTTTGAATCCATAACAACAAAACCAGCACCTCACACAGGCATTTTCTCTCTACTTTATGTATGATCATAAATATTTTACATGTATCCACCTAATTCAAGAAAGAAAAACAGTCGCACTTTCCAAGTCCGCCATTGTAACAGAAGGGAGTCAAAAGAGTATCATTCTTTTTGTCTACCACTTAGGCTTGTGAGTAGATGTGCATGTTTGTTTCATTTAGAAACGGTCTATTAAAACATAGCTGTAAAATCAAAGATGTACCTCTTTCATTTAATTACAAAATTGCTTCTTCATAGCCTAATAGATTTTATTTTTATATTCACTTCTTTCCTTGTTCTCACCATATCCTTTTCCTAATCTAGGATTTCCCATTAGAAAGATGGGAACTTCAGTGACTGTTATAGACTTGATGAACGTAATGTTGTATGAAGCATTGTAAAGACCTGTTTCCATGAGAAGTTTTATTTGGAGCCTATGCTTGTGTAGAAGTCCATTTATTTCAATGAGATTCCATGTAAACACAGAGGTCTGCATTCATGTAGCCTTTTGCAGGATCAGGATCTAAGAATGGTACAATATAAACACAGTTTCTTTGTCCTTCTCTTTTTGTTAGATGGTAAAAATGCAGCGTATTCCAGGTCCCAAGGAGCCTGCTGAACTCACTTACTATACTTTATACAATGGAAAACCGTTGCTGGGCACTGCAGCTGCCAAAATTCTGAGCACTGTTGATTCACAAAGGATGGCCTTGACATTAGGTTATGTCATCCAAGTACAAGCTGATCGTAAGAATCCTTTTTTCCCCCCCTTTGATTCCTCTGTTTTAGTCACGCCTATTGTTATTTCTCAGAACTAATTTTCAAAATGCAACATTAACTATGGGGAATGCTTATTGACTTGTTTTTAGAGCCACCCTCATTTTAGTAATTGCTTAAATCAGGTAGATGTTTGCTATATAAAAATAATGAACCTTTAAAACATTTTAAAATAATGTTATTTTTGGTTGAACGGCATCACTGTCAGCTACACCTGTAGTTCTCTATAACTCTAGTTATAGCTCTCATGTCACCTATATGAGACTGTGAAGCTGAACTTATCTCCCAAACTGACTAAAATTCCATAATGTCAAAACCTGAAAATTAATGAGCTCACACAAATTAAAAGTAAATCGCTAGTTAACTATCTTGGCATAAATGAAAATGAAGGGCACAAAGCAGTTGAGCTATCTAGAGGTCCGTCAGATTTAATGTATATAAAGCAGCTGCAGAAATCTGAATACCAATGGAAAAAATTTCTTTAGAGACATTCACTTTCACCTGTCAGAGCTTTTTAAGTTGCGTGACACCGTTGATAATGGAAATCAGGTAATTAATTAGGGAGTTTGATCCAAGAGGTTAGTGTACTGAATGTTTTATTTTGTGTATGCAATTTCCAGTATGAAGGTACAATAAACTAATTCAGAAAAATGTAGAGGAAAAATGAAGTGTAATTATTCTTGCAAGGTAAAATTAAAGCTCCTTTTTTTTCTTAGCAATTCCATTAGTGATTTGAAGGACATTAAGTTCATGTTCAGACTTAAAAAAACCCCCCACTGGTTCTTTTGGATCCCAGGGTAGATTTTGTTCTGCCTTCCTGGTGCAGTGTTTTGAATGCATGATGGAGCTTTGAATTTTATTTTGTATGGTAGACAGTCTGAGGTATGATTTTAAGTTTTTGACTAATTTATCCTTCCCACTTCGAATGCTGAGATATTTATCCTTTTGGAATCAAACCTATCCAATCAAACCTGGAGCCCCCTCAGCCCTTATCAACTTCTCTCTTTGGGCAATCTCTTCTTCCCCTTTCCTGCCATGCCTTGATGTATTTATCTTCTAGAAAAAGGGAGGCTTGCCCTAGGGCTCCCCAGCCTGGTCTCACACTCTTGAGCTCAGATGACTGTAATATATAAACATTTTTTTTCATTCTGTATTTTAAAAATCTGTCCCACAGTTCTGGAATTGTAATGTGAAACAAGTTTTTAAAAGAAGGGAGGATTTTTGTTGATGAAAGCATTTACATTTGCAGCATATTACATGAAAGCAGGCGACTTTTGAATCCATAACAACAAAACCAGCACCTCACACAGGCCCTCACTGCCTTAAGGGCTAATTACATGGGCTATACCTCCTCAGTACCCATGCCAATGCCTTGCAGATGTTGCACATACTAATCAAATCATAACTTCCCCTACAGGGTATGAGCTTTTGGCTCTGTTCATCTTTACACCAAGCGCCTCTGAGCTATAGCCCCCTCAGTCTCTGGCTGTGGTCCTCCTGGCCTTTGGTTATTCTCCTTAGACCCTGGCCCTGCTCCTAGGCCACTTGAGACCCATGGGCTCTCCAACCCTGACAGTATCCATCTGTGGCTCCTTCCTGAGTCCTGGCCCCACTCCTAGGTCAGTGAGTCCTATGGGCACCTTGGCCCTACCTACTCTATGAGCCCTATGGCCCCCTGTTCTGGGCCCTCTGGCTCCTATCTCCCTAGGCCAGCTGGGACCTCCTCGCCTCCTTTTAGTAGTCTGTTCCACAAACCACCAGATGTTCCCCAGCCCAAAGGCTGCAGACACACAGACATGCTTGGTGTGAGCCAGAATCACTCTCAGCAGCTTTCTCACACCAAGCACATCTGTGGATCTGCAGCCTTTGGGCTGGGGAATGCCTGGTGGTTTGTGGAATAGACTAAGGGGTGGTAAGGAGGTCCCAGCTGCTGCTCAGGAGCTCTGTCCCTGTCAGCTACCTGCATGAGACTGCCTGCCTATCTCAGGCCCTGGGCTTATATATACCTTAAGCCCCGCCTGCCTTCAGTCAGGTGTTTTACCTGGTTGCTGCCTGAGCTAGAGGCATCTCTCTGCTTAATGTGACAGGCATGCTAGGCACCCTGTCACAATCAGCCTTCCTATCTGCATGAATGAAGCACTTGGAACAGCTGCATAGCAAATTGATAGGAAAAGAGGAACTAATTGTAACAAATGATTAAAGATTGGCAATAAGCATGAGATTAAGTCAGAAAACAGGCTCAAATGGTACAATAGTACCATAACCAGTGACTGCAGTATATCTCCTGGTCTGGTCGTGGGTTGGATGCTACTGAATGATTGATTTCAATTTTTTTTCTGCTGAAAACACTAATTTTGATCCCTGTTTGCATAAATTATGTTAACTTAAATACAAATTACATTGTTTCCCATTAAAAATGCTTCAAAGAGCCTTTTCTGCTAGTACAGCTATAAATCAGAAAAATATACTGACTTCTTTTGGGTATGTTTCATATTTTCAAATAGATAGCTGTATATACTGCATGCTTGTACAGTTTTATAAGGCAATTCCCTCAGCTGCAGATTTCCATCCAAATTGAAATAAAGTTTCCATACAGAATGATATGACAAATGCACATAAAATACATTTTTGGTTTTGGGTACCAAAAGGCAGAATCTCATTTGCCTTCACACTAGCAAATGACATTTGCCTAGCTGCATAATTGCCATTTTGGCACTTACACAATATTTGCAATTTTATTTTACCTATGGTGTGGACACATAAGTATGTTCAGTAGGCTGTGCTTGGGCTGGGACTCTGTATACACATACCTGAATATAAATCCCCATATTGTAGCCCAACAAAAATAGTGGTGGGGAAGGAGGCTGCTATGTCACTCACCCAAGAAATTCTCCAAACCTGTATTTCTCCAACTTCACAACACTACCTACCAGGCCGTAGGTTAGGTATTATCCAGTCCTCTCTCTCGTCCTCCTTTTGAAGCTGAGTCACTGGTCCTTGCATTTAATATTCACCAGATAAAGAGCAAAGGTCCAGATTAGAATGTAGGCCCCACCCACTCTTTTAGAGTGGTATCTGTCTCACTGAGCTACCATCTTCTGGCTTGCTTGCTTTCATCTTACTCCACAGATCTCACTCTCTTGGCTGCCCCACGTGAGGAGAGAGGCTGCTTCAAAAGGAGGTCTGAGTAAGCGACTTTAAGTGGAATAGGATTGCAAACTATGCATAAGTGCCAAAAAATGTCAGTTACGTGGCTGGATAAAACTGCCGTTTGGGAGTGTAACATGAAGAAGACTCTATGCTAAAACTCGGAGATTAGATCATTTGACCGGAAGGAACAATATGAATACTTTACAGTGGAAAGAAAGTATTCCCATTGCCTCAGTTTGGACATAATATGTGTATTTATTTGTAATTGTAAGAAAGTTCTGTAACAAGCACTTCACTCTTACATAATATGATTTGTATTGTAATAAAGCAGCCCTGCTGTAACAGGTGCTGCACTTTGAGATAGAAAATACCTGACTTGAGGACTCACAGTCTGAGTAGACATGACAAAAAGTAGGAAAAAACATGATTATTATGAAGCCCGTGGTAATCAGTGGTAATAAGACCTGTTGATTTATGTGAACATTGGGTCAGGTCTGAAGCAACTGATCCTAAATCACGCAGGAAGCCTGTGACAGAGATAATAGCAGAAACCAGATCTCTTGAGCCTCAATCCTGTGTATTAAGCACACAATTGTCCTTTTTCTCTGTCCTCTTCAGAGTGATTTCAGAAATACCTACTTATCTTTCAGCAGTTAGGAGCCTCTACTACAAGCGTTTGTTATTCACTACTACCACTGTGGTAGCTGGTAATTAAAATGGGCATTGTTAGATAAAATTTGGCCCAAGCTAAAGCCTTTGCTTTTCAGAAAAAGGGCCAACCGAGACCTCTCTCCTAACTAGCTGTTACAATGTTATTCATTTATTTACACAAGATCATTAAAGAGGGAACCTTTCTCACAGAAGGGGTACTTAACATTCAGGGATTATACTAGCCCTTAAAGATCCAATGAAGCATGCAGTTACTGTTAGCTTGAATGCAAAACATCACAGATCATATGACTCTGCTACTTTCTTGTACAACATAATTAGCTCTGACTACAAAAGGAGTTGTGGGTCAGGCCCAAAACATGCTTTCACCTAGCTGTGAAGTAACTACTGTAGTTAGATGTCCAGTGTTTGGAAAGAGCTCAGTGCCATCAACAGTCAGTCAAGCCAACAGTAGCTGAAAATGCTCTGCAGCTTCCAGAATCAGGTCCTGGTAGCTTGTATTAAATCAAGAAGAAAAATGGGGTAACTGTTGAGGAACTTCCCAGTGGCCATAGCATCTTTCTGAACTTCTCACCGATAGGAAAACAGTCTGGGAGCTGGAGCATACATGCTTTCCAGCCCCCTCGCTAGAGACCTACACAAGCTAGCTCTCCTGCCAGAAGGCACTAGAGGGCTGCTTGCTGGGCCCCCCTGCCTTTAGGGGAGCTTCTTAATTGATTGCCTACTCTGTGCCCTGCCTGAGAAGGGGCAGGCTGCCAAGTGGCAGCTGCTGCTTTTCAGAGAGCAGCTGGGGGAAGTCTCCGACACTAGGAGAATGCCCCCTTCTCCTGGCAATCAGCTGATTTGTGGGAGGGGAGGGACCTCCCAGTACAAACCCTCCCAGTTACCCCCACAGGAGAATAGTCCCCAATGCTTGCACACCTCTGGGCCAGCTTGGAGCAGTGTAGAGAGAGGTGGGGGTGTTTTGTTATGGCAGCAAGGCATGCAGAGCTCAGGCAGACTTTCAGCTGTAACACAGCTATCCCCTACTCCGCAAATGCTTCCCATTGGAAAGGGAGGAGTGCACTGGGTAGGGGGCTCTTCTCTTGCGGCAGGAACCCACCCAGGGCTCTGGAACATTTTTGCTGCAGGAGAATGGCTCCCCAACTTCTACCACTAGTCAGCCAATTGGCAGAACAGGGGATAGGGTTCCTACAGGGCTCCCTGCTGACAGCTCACTCCCTCCCTTGGAGGGAGGGAGAGCAAGGGGCTGTGGGATACTGAGTGTCCGCAACACCAGAGAGAAACAGTCATTCAATTTAGTGCAGGAAGGGAGAGATCTACCTGGTTCATAGTGGTAGAACCTTCTTGGAAAAGAGCTATTTTTCTTCTGTAAGAAAGCCCTTGAATGACTGTATGCTCTCTTTTTGTGCTGCGAAAAAGGCACAAATCTAGCACCTGTACATGGCCACTAGTGATATTTACACAGTTGTCTTTTCTACATCTGGAGCCAAGAGAATATAGAAATCATGGTAAGCTTTTCATAATCAAATAATTAAGGATGTAATATAGTGATTAGCATAAGCAATTCTGAAAGGAAATGAAATGAGAAAATGCAGCAAGTTATTTTAAGATACATACCAGGAGATTTCATTCATATCAAATGGATTCTAGAATCTTAGCAATATTGCCCTCCGTATGAATGTTCACTAACAAATAGCTGAGGATGCGTATTAGGCCCTTTGCTATACAGTACATATATTACACAATTACCTGGTGAATTGCACAATTAATTAGGCTGGCTACACATCTAAATTAGCTATGGTACCTTAAAAAGGTCCAGCCACCTATCAAGTTATTGCTGGAAAATGTGTAATAACTTTATAGCCAGTTTCTATCTAGGTTTAATTTGCATGTGTAGCCTGTGCTCTGGTGACTTGGAGACCTGTCCAGAGATTGGAGTTCCCAGCTGGTGGGGGTCCATGTGCATCCCAAAGCCTGGGAGCTCCCAGCTGATGCTGGCTTCCAGCCACAGGAGCATATGCCCCCACAACTAGGACCCCATCAGCTGACAGGGCTCCCAGCCATGGGAGCACCCCACACACCAATATGACTGGGAGATGCAGCTGCTGTGATCTCCCAGCTGCAATGAACTGACAGGGTTCCCAGCTGCAGGGGCACAGCTGCATGGTGCGCCCCCATGGCTAAGGGATTGCAGCAGTTGCAATCTCCCAGCTGTGGGGGGTGCCTTAGGCACATCTGCAGCTGGGATCCCTGTCAACTGAGGGGGCTCCAAACTGTAGGAAATTGCTTTTTGTTGGAGCAGGGGGACCCTGGGATCAGGCTTCCCCTTCACTGGCAATAAGCCACGATAGGATCTGAGATGCAAGCCCACAATCAAGTCCCTTGTCTTGCATGTATGGCATGGCAGGAGGCGCAATTGTGTGGATTGTGCATTAGATCCCATTGTCTCTTTACTTGCACATATAGAGGGTCCCTTGGTGCTGTGATTTATATTCTGGTACAATTATCAATATGACTGGACATGACTCTTCCTGCCCCTACATTTTTACAAGAAATAATTAAGAAGATGTAGTCTGTCTATGATGCCAAAGAATCGGAAAAACACAACAGCAACACTAATAAGAAAAGAGCATTTTTCTCACAAGTGTTTGTTGTAAAACTCTTAATGAACCCTTTCCTTAGTAGCTGTGAGTCGCCATAGCATCCTCATTTTCAAAGGAACTTTGCCAATTTACAGCTTCTGTGAATCTGAACCAATAACTTTTATAGGAACTGGACTGGTATAGATGTGTATGTTTTTATCATAGATAATATCTGTATCTTGGCATTTTATTTTAGGAAAATACCTAGGGCAGAGATGTTACTAACAGTTTTTTGGCCCAGAGCAAAGACCCTGGAGAGGGGCAGGGGGTACTGAGCGCAGGAGTCTTACTGGACTTATGCTGCTACTGCCATATCTTGGTCTCATGGCACCATGCTATGGCACAGGCCCTCTGGTGGCTACTACTCTGGTGCCCCCTCTAAATTGGTGCCCAGGGCTGGGGTGCTGCCTGGCCCCGCTTTGCTATGCTACCAATCTGCCATATGTTGCATTTACCATGCCTTGCTTATACTGTAAAGAAGACATTTAAGTGCAACTGAGATCCTGGACTTGAGAGGAGAGCTAGTAATCTGTGATTTAAACAACTTGAAACTGTTGATTGTGGAAGTCTGTTGATCCATTTTTTTATTATAAAAATCTAAGTCAATCGATCATCATCACCATCCTTTCATGATAATTAGTACATGAAGGCCACTTTGACTGTACCCCGCCAATTGTAATACTGCTTTTACACAGGAAATGGTGATGGAGCACTGACTCTGCTTTGTAATTTATGCAGCTGTGGTGAAAAACCCACCAAACAACTTGTGGATCATTGCGGCTGTGTTGGCTCCTATTGCCGTGGTTACAGTTATCATTATCATCATCACAGCAGTTCTGTGCAGGAAGAACAAGAATGACTTCAAGCCAGACACCATGATGAATCTGCCTCAAAGAGCTAAAGTATGTGCCTATGCAATGAGAAACGTCTTGATTTTAAGCACCCATTTCTTTTCTGAAGGTTTCATGTTTCAGTTCCTTAGCTAAATGCATTTGAAGAACATTTGTAAGTTTACGTGGGTGGTAGACTTGGAATAGGACTTCCTGTGCCGTTGCAGAACTTGTTTCCTTTGGGGCAATATGACAGATGCATGTCCTGCCAGTTTTCCTTAGCTCCCCACCCCTTGAGACACCTCCTGTCACAGTAATCATGCTTCCATCCAAGAAGACGACAGAACTCTTCTTAGACCTTCTCCGAGTTCTCTCTAACCATCAAGAGTGTGCCATCAATTTGTTCATTGATGCAAGTTGTTCCCTCCCATAGGGCTGAGCAGGCTTCCTACATGGCATTTGCTGCTTCTGTAAATTGGGGAAGTAGAGAAAGAAATGGAAAATCAAACTTGGATTATTTTTTCCAAAGATACTTTTTTCTTAAGGGCAACATCCTTAATTCTGTGCATAGAACTTCTACCAAACAAGTCCTATTATCACTAATAGGACTTGAATAGCTAAAGTTCTGTGTTTGACAATAGTTGAGACTCTAGCCCTAAATTAGAGCTGTTCCAGCCAATTAGTGATTCAGAAAAGGTGACATTTTTCCCCCACCATTCTTTTCTTTTGCATTTTTGTACTTTTAATTGACTTGTAAATATAGCTTATAGTGTTGAGACAATTTACTTCTCTTTTACTTAAGAAGCCATATAAATTAAAGGGACTTTGTCAAGGCAGATAAATTCCCAATTTAAATCTCTCTCTACAAGTATATATTCTGCTTTAAAATCTCCATAATGGGAAGGCAACTTAATCACCAAGTGAGCTACATCATTATTCAAATTTCAGCTCTTAAGGTGGGCAAACCACTGTCCTCCCCCAAGGCACTGACAAACCACCAAAACCAAAGTCTGGACTGATAAGGTTTTGTGGGGGATAATGAGTATGTATGTATACCATTCTACTCCTTCACTCTCCTTCCTGGCTTCATTGGTCCTGGTTAGCAAGGAACTGAAATGATAAAATCACTGCTTGCTTTCTGAGTGATATAGACAGTGTGATTTCAGTGAATTGCATCTACAGGGACTGCTCTGAAAAACGTAGATGAAAAGGAAAGTAGAGAAAAAGCATAATGCACGCACTTGCCTCCCTTTTTCATCTGGGAACATCCTGTGTTTATTTTTGGTGTGTGACATAGTTTAGGAGTGGAAATTTTATGCAAGGCTGGTCAAAACAATGACATCAGTATTGCACTCCTATATCTTTGTCTATCCTGCACAACCAAACCATAAATGGGATTAAACACCAAAAATAAAAAGTTACAGATATAGGGCAAAACAAATCCCAGTGCAATAAGATGATATAAGATTCAAGGGATTTATAATGCAAGCATAGCTCCTGGTTGGCAGTGAGCATATCCCATTCCCTCCCCTGCAGATGATCTGGTTTCCCCAGAGAGGTGGTGGGGATAAGGAGGGCAAGGCTTGTTGCCCTCAAAGGTTGCTGGAGTTGCTTCTCTGCTGCAGCTGCTTCTAGCTGATGTCCATGTGGCATCAGCTGGAAACAAGCACCTCTGCTTTGGAGGTGGGTGAAGCACCAAAAGGCTGGAATGTCTATACACCCCCATAGCATTATATTTTTGTTATGCTACAAAGTGCTGCAAGTGAATGGCTGTCCATAACCTAAGAAGACCAATTTATTTTTGTCCTGACTTACCAGAGCTATTATTGTTGCTGAACCATTAAGTGTAAAGATGGGCACTACAGATGGTTGATTGTAATGCATCTAAACCATATTTAAATTGAATATTTAAATTGATTAGTTACCAATGTGCCTGAAATCACTTGATACCTTCAGATGTTCTTAGACAAAAAGCTGCTCTGAAAATTAAATTGCATTAGATGGATATTTTCAGTTTAAAATACAGCTTTAAAATTTCTTTTCCTGTATAGTTGATCTTTCAATTTGGCTTATCAGGGTTTTGGTACCCTTTGGATATTCTCTGAATTATTGGAAACAAAGGAAATTCAAATTGTGTGGAAAGCCCTCTTTGTCTTTGGTATCAGCTGTTTTTGTTTTTTAGTGGTGCCATTTTATGTGCTGTGATTTCAAAAGTCTAGTATCAAGGGAAACCAGCAGCCTGAACCTGCCTATTCATTGCTGCAGTCCTATTGCTGCTGTGAACAGAGGGGTACTGCAGTTCTTCACGTAGAAGAGCTGCCTACTACATCCTTTCTCAGAATTCTTCTTGTGTGAATGGAATTAAATTAATGAACAAAGCGTAAAGGGGTAATGAAATCTTTAGCATTAAATAGCATTCTATAGATTGCGATATGATATGGAAACAGGGTTCTTGCTTGTGCATGGGAATAGAGAAACAACCCTTTTGTGGTAACATACTGATGGCTGAATAAATAAAGTTAGAAAACATTAGCTGCTTATAAATAGTGTAGTTTATAGTATCTATCTTGAGCATAGTGTTAAATTCTGTTGCCATTCACAAATGATTTAACAGCCAGCAACATCTGTGCTGGGCATCAGAGAAAAGGTATTGTTACCATTTGTTTCATCTGACTTACCAGATCAAAAATAAAAAAGTACAGACTGATGTATGTGAGATATTTCTGTATCAGCAAGTAAATGAACTGAGGGAAAACTGTTTTAATAATCTTTAAATGCTGTATTTGTTCTGGGTTTTTTGGCAGATGTTAAGTTTGTTTTCATTCATTCATTCAATCATTCATTCATTCATTTGTTTTTGCTTCTCTTGCTTTCTAATTTATAGCATGCTTTTAAAAGCTGATAATCTTATTTGCTAATCTGTCACTTTTTCTTTCTTCTAAAACAAGAAGAAAGAATAAGCTAGCAGGTAAATATAGATAAAGGCCACAGTATGATTCCTTAAAGCAAATGCTGCAGGCCATGAGAGAAAAAAATACCATTCATTTATGAGACAACATACAAAGAAAAATAACAAACCAGAATAGGAATATGTATGGTGATTGTGTTTTAATATTTTCAGCTTTTACATCACCATGCCAAGTCCCAGTTACAGTGCATACTCTTCTTTTTATCTTTATCCAGCCAATATAAGAAATGGTCCGAGTAATGATATTAAAATATGATTTCAGAACCATCCACCAAATCCCACTTATTGCAGAAATCTGGGGTTACAGATACGTTTTCCTCCAGTGCTGAGTAAATCATCATAATGAATTATTGTCGTGGTGTTGCCAGTTCCCTTCAGGATGGTAAGGCCGTCTGGTTATGGTGCCTTTCGCATGTCAGAGTTCCTGGATTAAATGCTCTTTAGTACAGTATATCAGCTAACAAGAATCATTTTTCAAGCTCTTCCTTTTACACCATTTTGTTATTTGATGTTGGGATAAGTAGCACCTCAAAAAATAATCATTGGCATCTGAGAGATCAGGGTTACACATTTCTACACTTCTATTAAGATATTTGTGCTCTTTGATTCTTACTTTTTCCATCAGATAGAAGTATACTTGTAGTATATCTATACAATTTCAGTGGGTCAGATGAGAAAAGTGCTGTTATATATCAGTCTTGTAACAATTTTCTGTCTTATTGCTCCATTCATTGAATAACTAGGATTGTGTAGGCTAGAAATTAACCTATGTAAGTGAAAACTTTGAACCCTTAATTTCAATCAGAATTTCAGAGTCTGTGGTGGCTTATGGTATTATGGCATTCTCTAGCAGTCCTTTGCATGGCTTGCCCTGTCTTTCTTTTCCTCTCTTCATAAAGCTAATCTAATGACTACTTCTGTGGTACTTTTCCTTCACTATGGAGAGGAAACATTCAGCTCCCTTCTGGGGAGACATCATTGTGTTTTGCCAGCAGGGCCTTTTCATGGCAAACTGGCATTTCTCTAATATGTTGTAATATGTTGAAAGGCTCACTGCTGTAATTTGCTAAGACTTTGTTGACCCAAATTAATGCTAGTCCATTTACTACCTCTTTAATATATTTCCACTGAAGTTGCTTCTCAAATGGATGCCAACTTTCTTTGTCAGGTTAAAGGAAATTTCAGAGTAGTGTTAAGTCGGAGACTTAAAATGTGAGGCAAGTCCCCTTATGCAGAAATAGGGATTTTTAAGGACATTACATAATTTTTCAGACTGAGATACCTATAAAGCTATCAGCCACTCTTGAATCTGTTTTATAGCCACGAGGGACAGAAATGGAGCAAATGTGTGTAAAAAACAGAAGGTACTGTGAATATCTCGCTGTTTTGACCCATCTGTGAAGTTTAAAAGTGGGCGAATTTTTTCCAGCACACCTAAAATATTTGTTAACATCGTAAGAGCCTGGAGGAACCTTTTTCAAGTGCTATTTTTATATTTTTGATATGTTACTTACTGGAATGTTATATGGCATGTGTTGGAAAAGTGAAAAACACCAGCATTTTACTTTATAGCATTTTGTCAATAGCCACAGCAGAATCTCATTATTGTTATATATGAAAGACACTTTTTTCATAGAACCAGCTAGGATTTTTGTGATTTACCAATAGCAAATGCCGTTTTCCCCCAAAATTAAAATTTTCCAGATTAAAATTTTGATTTTGCCAAAAAATTAGCCATCAATCAAGAAAATTGAAATGACAGCTGCCTTCCTAAATGGAATTTGTCATTTTCACTTTCTCTCTACAGAATGGGTTCCAGGGATGCAACCGGGGGCTGAAGCTGGGCAGTGGAGAAGGATGGGAAGATGAAATGGACTTCTATTTTCCTTTTGTGGGAGGGATTTTCATTTTCTGGCCAGCGTCCCTCCCTCTCCTCTCCTCTCCTTTCTCCCCACCCTCTGAATTTCCACCCTTCTCTTCTTCTTTCTTTTTCCTTTTCCTGTGCAAATCTGAGTTCTCATGGGTTTTTTTAACTAAAAACATGGACAATTTTGTATCCATTAATCAATGTTTAGCAACATGTTGAACAAAAGCTTGATGACCATACTGTATCACTGCCAGCTAACTGTATTACAATTATGGCTACAACTTTTGACCATGATGCACATAATTAGAGAAGTTAATAGGTAATAACAAAAGATCTTATACTAATATATGATGCTTATTGGAATACCATTTTTCTTCTTCTCTGCAGCCGGTGCAAGGCTTTGACTATGCCAAGCAACATTTAGGTCAGCAGGGAGCTGAAGATGAGGTTTTGCCTGTAACTCAGGAGACTGTAGTGCTACCACTTCCAGTTAGAGATGCATCTGCCTCTCAGGAAAGAGAAATTGCTCAAGATGGAAGCACCATTAAAACTGCCAAGTCCAATGAAACAAGGAAAAGGTACGCAGTGGCCAATTTCAGCTGAGGGATGGAGTGGGCTGGATGCTGCTGGCAGCAAATAAAACCACAATGAGTTTGGCACCCATGCAATGCCTATAGCATTTTGTTCCTTTACAAAAGTGCTTGGCCTTTAGTAATGTTATTCAGCATGTAGGATTGCTAAAGAGAGTAGGATAATAACTGGAGATTTAGCAGACTTTATAGCTCAGAAGAGATGAATGGGAAGCTGCCAACATGAGTGCTAGCGCTGTGCTACAGACCTGAACTTTAATGGGGTTCAAAATTTTGGCTTATATCTGAAGTTTACAAATGAACTGTGGGAAGATCCTCGGTGGGTGTGAATTGTCATAACTTCATTGATTGTGACCCGTTGATTGTGACTACCAGCTGAGGATCTACCTCTTATAGCCTTATTAAGGACTGAATAAAGGACCAAAACTAAAGCTCTCCCTAAATTATGTTGTTGATAGCATGTCTCAGTATCCAGAGTACATATAACAACAGTGCTATGAACATGTAGAAGAAGCACTCAGAAGTGCCCAAGTGCCTATAGTAAGAATTAGTTGTTTCTAAAATTATTCACTGTAATGGAACAGGATTATTTGAATCCATTTTATAGTTGAGAAATGTAAGCCTTTTTTCTTGTTCTTAAAAGTTTGATAATAAAGGAAATAAAGCAAAAATAAATTTGGTATTTTAACAATGAGAATAAAGTTAATGTCAGTTTCACTGTAGTTATAATAGCCATATCTTTGGGAATTTGATTAACTAAAGAAAGGTTATTTGGTTTGGGCAGGGAAATTTTCTAGGAAACGAAATCTTTTGAGTTAATTCATCTTATACACTTACCAGTGCACACCACTCTTCAGAGGAATGGAAATTCTAGAAAACTTCATTATTAAACTGAATTTTCTGAGTGTTTACTGAGAGAAACATGTTGATTGTGGTAATTCTGTGTGTTAGGTATGTCAGATAATCCATTATATAAGAGGCTATTGGGAGATGGTATAAATTGGTAAACAGAAGAAACTAGTTAAGAAATCCTGTCTTAGTTCCTAAGATCAGTTTGTTTCTCTAAAATCTTGCTCCCAGCTTTTAGTGCGAGTCACATGTGCTGTATGCTATGAATCAATGTATTGCAGAGCATAAGAATCAGATTATCTAGTTCATATGAACTGAATAATACTTGCCCTTTTCAATGTCTTCTGTTGCACGATAAAGTGCCAAATGGGAGATTATCATTGTAACAGCTGAAGGTGCTTGCCCTCCTGGACGATAAGCCTTTCCAGGAACTATTCTTTAAAGAATTTTTCAAGACTCTTTGATTACTGACTCATGTCAGACAGATTCACAGACAGAATATAATTCTCTCCATTGACTACAAAAAGTGACCCAAACACTTCAACATTTTGGATGTGCAAAATCTTGTAATTAATCCTTGCATTCCTAGATAAATATTGATTGGAAGACTAGATACCCATTCAGGGAATCACTGGAAAGCAGTTTCTATGTAGACTGAATATAGCAAATATATTGCAGTACTCAATGAGAATTGCATCTTCCCTGCTACAGGTAGTCTCACTAACATCAGGATTACTTGTATTAGTAAAGTGAGTGGGATTAGGTTCTTTGCAATATTATCTAATAGGTGATGGGAGAAGGTTTGCAACAGACTTTTCATGAAGTGATTCATATTATATACTTTGTTTATAATTTTTAAAATCCATAATAAATAGTAAGCATGATGCTTTTAAAAGAGGAGCACTTAGAAGCTCTGTGGTAGCAACAGCCATTTTATAGGGATACAGCTGCTGTTCGTTCCACTGGAGGCTGTCCCTGTCAGGAGCCAAGCAGTCATTAGCCAAGTGTGAAATGATTCACTAGCCATTATGGCAAGGATTCTATAGGGGTCAATATTGCATCCAGCAGCATTAATTCACAATGCAATTTCCACAAGGAAAGCCACTGGGTAAGTTGAGCAGGGGCTGGTCACCTGCTTCATTTTTTTCTTCCCAGATAGCTCTGCTTCTAAAACATTATGACGGAGCTTTTGTGTGAATTAACTATAAAAGGGCTTCTGTTGAACTCCAAAAGCAATAAGGCACTGAGGTAGCACTGTTTGCCCTACACCTGATACTTTCTTCATTTTGGTAACATTAAGTGTCCTCTTCTCCTGCCTCAGTTGGGGCAGTCTGACCCCCCCAAGGCACGTTATACATAGACAATGAGACTAGAAGGTTGCCCTGTGCCTCAGGACATGTCTGTCTCAATGCTGCCTGTGGATTTAAAGCCACGTTTTGTGACAGCAATAGAATTTAATTTAATTTCTCACTGTGCAGCCATACTTTGGAAAGTATTTGCCAATAAAATCTTGTCAGATATGTTTTAGCCAAACAGCAGGTCAGACAAATATTTGACTGGAATGATTGAAGCAGGGATGACCCTGCCTTGAGCAGGGGGTTGGACTGGATGACCTCCCGAGGTCCCTGCCAGTCCTATTTTTCTGTGATTCTACCTTTTGAGTTTCCTTTCAATGACCAGTGCTGCAACAGTCTGGCTAATAGTAGACTGCCGTATGGGTTACACTGGTGGTACAATAGGCTTATTTCATTCCTCTTGTTTCCAACTGTGAAACTGGCTACACTGTGGTAACTCCCCCTTACTGTGTTAACATTTAGTTAAACATTTTTTTTTACTGTGGCCTATTCACTAGCTGTTAAATTGAGCTAGTGATGCATGGTACCTAGCCTACCCAAAAACAAATAGGAATCTGTCCTGAATATTTTTGCCCAGAGGAACACAGAGTTCCTACTCATGCTCTCTGTAAGAAGACTGTCCCTTTCTCAACATATCTGACCACCATCCCACTTCCATACTTGTGGCCATAGTAGTTAGAGGACACTGAGCAAATCATACAATGACAAGGAGGATGACCATTCAGAGCAAGGGAGTCTCAGCAAAAACTGGCACTGGCTAAACATTATAGTGTGTAGAGGGAGAAAAGAGAGTTACTTGTCAGAACTGATGCAGGTAGACATGAGCGGGTGAGTGTAAGTTCTGGCTGACAAACTAATCAAAAGCAGATACAGACTAAATAGTGGGGAAAGGCTCGGAGTGAATTTGCTTAGCTATATACTTGAAAAGCTGGCATAAAAACAAAGGTCATCTTTTATTTGACCTGCTTAACAGATGTTAAATTAATAATAGTGTTTTTTTGCCCTTTGCAGCATTTTCCTTTTGTCACTGTGGGTTCGTGCGAGAGAAATAATCAGTCCTGGTTTCACTGAAATCCTCTTCAAGGCTGAGCCTACATAAAAAAAAAAGAAAAAGAAAAATTAAATATTGTAGTTGCATCCCTGCTTTCATTGTGTTGCTGTTGTGCAGCTTATTTTCTGTCTCCTTTCTGTACAAAATCCGACTTGAAAAGCCAGTGATGCAAACTGTGCAGATGAAATAACCTTGAAATGAGGTTTATACAGAAGAAACTTACAGTCTTCCTTGTTGCTATGGTTACTTACAGCAGGTCGCCTAGTCAGAACGGTTCTGTCATCACCAACGAATCAGGAAAGCCCAGCTCAGGCAGAAGCTCTCCACAGAAAGTAATGGCACAGCAGAAAGTGACAAAAGATGAGGGAAGAAAAAGAAATGGTGAGAAGTGTTTCCTAATGAAAGGTCTACTGTATGCCTGCAGCTACTCCCACAGAGATACCCATGTTGAAACCCTCCTCCTCCTTTATGTCCTATATTTACTAATCTTTTATGCATTTATTCTTCAGTGCTTCTTCTTTTCCCCCCTTTTCTGCCTTCGGTGCTATAATAAGCTGTACTGTCATGAAACTCCGCATGGAAGAGTATGCTATTTACTCCATGTTATAAGCCTTTGCAACTGTTCACAGTTTTTAGCAGCCACATAATGCCATGAGACACATGGCTTCTTAACAGGTGAAACTAGGCATGCAGTTTTCCTGTATAGGACCCTAGGACATATGTTTTCATTGCTGGTGCCTCTCATCTGGCCTAGATCTGATGAGATGGATTTACCAGGTAAAAACTGTGTTGAAAAGATGTGAGGGTGGCAATGCTTCAGATCTCTATTACCCTCCACCCTTTTGTCTTCTCTTTGCTAATGCCCTTAATGACAGCTCTTGCTGTTGTACTAAGGGGTGTGATGCTGCACTCAACTTTGTTTCCAAATCCTTTGTCGATGATATCAGCCTTAGGATTTAAGATGTACAAGGTGCATCTCTTCTTGTTTTTCTTTGCTTGTTACTTTGCTAATTTCTCTTGAGGTTTAGCCCTTGTTTTGTGGACATAATTCATGTGAAGCCAGACTCTAAATGAGACGTAACATGACCTCTTCGGATTTTGTCGGCAGCACACAAATATAAATCTTTCTTTAATAAGACATTGCAGGATTGGAAAGGGAGGTTGAGGGACACAGAAAATCTCAGTACAAGACTATTTCCATCCCTACTTCAGTACATCACCTCTGCAGCCTCTGTGGAACTTTCTGACTGTCCATATGGCAATTCCCATGGTGATCATCATGGTGATCATCATAATCTGATAAAGTATTATGATGTGGCTTACAAAGCTCATGTGTTTTAGCAAGAACATAATATAATAAATAGACCCAAATGCATAGTAGAATAGGCAACATTATCCTGTACAGCAAAAATTACATTATATTTTTAAATTTTGTCTGCAGTTCCCCTGCATTTACTACCCGCTCATGCATTCTGTGGGAAATATGGGATTGATATAATTGAGTTGTTCTCTTTTAAAATGGTTTTTCTGTGTATTATACATTTATGGCAAGAACACCTTCTTTTCTATGTGTTGCATTTGTGTTGTTTGTATTTGTCTATTGAAAAAATATGATTTCTTACTAGAAAGAGACCCAGTCCTGCAATGACAGCCATTCTGCTGCACTGCTGTGGCTATAGGTTGCTCCACTAAAACCAATAAGGACCTTAGCTTTTAGGATCAAGGCCTAAATTTTCACAGGTCACATTAAGCAAGTTATGCTAATTACACATAACAGCCTGTTTTTAAGGTTATTGCTATGTTTATACTCGTTCAAATATTGCTTGCTTTATAAGACAAAAACATTTGGGATTTTGAGAGTTCAATACTGTACTTTCAGAGTGTGATTATTTCTTCTTCTCAGAAAACATTAAGCCAGCTAATACAGTTTCATTTAATGTTAATTTAATTTACCTAGTCAAAATGTTTTAGTGAGGGTGTTATTATCACTTTGTTTTTGTTTCTTTTTCTTTAACTTATAGGTTTTAAATCCTCAAAGAATATTGGTAAGAACTTTTGGTTCCTTTGATAAACATTTAACTAACCCTTAATGTGATTTCTTCTGATCAGAGCTTTCCTATATCTCCAGCACATGCGTAGTGGCTGTTTATTGGCCTTTTATTTAAAACCTCCCTTTTAGTGTAATTTTAGCTTCATCCTTATTTGCAAGCAGTGACTGTATGCTTCCCTAACTATGCTGGGAAACTAATAGCTGCAGTATTCTCTTGTGTATTTGACATCCTCTCTTTTCCTGTCCTCTGCAGAAAGACCAAGATGTTATATTGATGTTAGGGGAATTTGAACAGAGCCAAAGGAAAGGAAACCTCCCCATTAATGTGTAAAGCAGCAAAGGTGCTAATTTGTGCTCACTGTAATAGTGGGCACAAATGAGCACCTTTGCTGCTGCATTGTGCACTACATTGTACAGCTAGAGAGAGATTGCTGTAGCTATCCTTGTTTGCTCATCCCTATTCCACCATTAGGAGGCTGTTGGCAACAGTAGATCTGTTGCCCTGTAGCTGCCCTGACAACTCTCTTGGCAAAGGGAAAGCCCATGGTATTCAGCCCTTTCTCCCATCTCAGATGGGTTTCTGAAATTCTGTCCTATCATGTTCTGGTGTCAAACTACTTCCATTGTGTTTCTTAGCTTAGGGTGTCTGTAGCAAGAGAGAGAGGGCAGGGTTTGCATAAGTAAAATGCTTAGCTAATGGGGAGTCACAGATCCGACATGGAGATACTGGGCCTATCCCTTACTGAAATGTCTGTGTAGAGTATCTTACTAAAATTTCTTCCCACTTAGCCTCCTGAGAGGGAGGGGTCCTACCCAAAAATGTTTTGGTTATATTATGCTAAATGTGTTTTATCATTGCCATTAAAAAATCAATTAATCATTGAATTCCTTGGGTAAGGTTTATATCCTAATTCCCAATTCTGTGATTTCAGATACTGCTGTCATCTGGAGTAGTTTCTATTGCGGGGCTTTATCTTTATCCAGGGTAATTAGCATAGCTAGAATGTGTTACCATTTGTCCTTCCAATTTAACAAAGAGGCTATTTTTCTTTTAGCTGTTTGTCTGAAACTGCTCCAGCTATCTAGCATGATTGTAGCTTGACACCTCTAATATGCATGTTAGGAAAAAGAACAGCATATTTTTTCCTCTGAAAATCAGCATTTGAAAATTGGAATGAATCCCTGGCTAAGTCACATGATTGATTTGGGGACTCCAAGTTAGATTGGCTCATTAGTTGCCATAGTTACAAACCAATTTTAGATTCTATTCCTCACTGACATTTAGTTATACAGGAAAATGACAATCTTGGGTGTTAACTCAATAGATAAACTCTACATGGTTTCTATCAAAACCCACCCCAAATTCATGCCTACAGCTTCTCAGCAGTGAGGGGAAATGAACAGCAGATGTGAAACCAGGGTAGCCAGATAATCATGAATGAAGAAACTGATATTATGGAGGCCTTGCTGAGGCCTCTTTAGCTGAGGCTGTTTTGAGATTTTTTACAGAAGATAAAGCTAAATGATTAAACTCAACTCTTCATAAGGCAATTGAACTTTTTAATCATTCCTTTAGTAAAAGTTCTATTCATTTTTGCTGAATAAAGTGTTCCCTCTTCGTCAGGTTTTGAACTGTTTTTGCATTTTCATAGGGTGTCTCTACACATGCATTTACACCAGCTTAAATTTATTGTGTAGAAAGTTACTGCATAGTAAGTGGGAATAGGCCGGCATCTACAAGTGCAGACAGCCTGAGGCAAAACGTAGTCCCAGGTCAGAGCAGCCTGCCATGTGCCCGTGTGGCCACTGGGGGGAGCTCCAGCCTCTGGCCCAGGGGCAGGCAATTATTGTGGGCAGGGGGTTACTTAACAAGTTTGGGCGAGCTGTTGGGGGCCGCATAGGTAGCCCCGTCCCTTGACAGCTGCCCCGCCCCCTTGTCACCATATTAGAACTGGAAGTCCAACCCCCTAACACCTGACCTTTGCCACCTTTCCTTGCCCCCCAGAAATACTCTTTTTCAGAGGGCGGTTACCATCTTAGAACCAGAAGAAAACAAATCATACACTAGAAGTCAAACAGCTACTATAACATATTTTAATTTGATTACAAAAACAATTGTCATGATTTGTGTTTGTGTACTGTAAATAGAAGGGATTGCATAATAACTAAAAAATAGTCTCGCTCGTGTTGGGGACTGTGGGATGTGTGTATGGTGGGGTGTGGGGGGGCATAGGGTATGTTGGGGTGTATATATGGGGGGCTGTGGGGGCAGGGTGTGTGTATGTGAGGTTTATGGGGTGCGGGGGGCCCCCCCACACTCTTCCATATGGCATACAGCCCCTGCTGCCAGCAGTAGCAGCAGGTGGGGGGGGCTTAGGGAGCATGTACTTGGCACAAGCACTGGTATCCAGTGGGGTGTGGCTCTGGGCAGTGCTGCGCGGGTGTGAGGAACAGAGCTTGCCTGGCCTCCTCTATCATAGGGGAGGCCCTGTTGGACTCCGAAGGGATGCAGTAGACAGGGCTCTCTCCACTCCGGGTGGAGTCGAGGGACCTGCACAGCATGGAGCGGGGAAGGCAGTGGGCTTCACCACGGTGCTTTCCCTGATGCAAATCCAGGAGTTGCAGGCATGCTGCAGTAGAGGTGGCAACAGGAACAAGCTGGGAGCCACGGGGCTGAGTTGGCTCCTGCTGTGTTCTGTGATTCCAGTGTTGCAGCCAGGAACCAAGCGGCATGGCACCACATGGCCAGGCATGTCCCAGCAGAGCGCTGTTCCTGCCTGCAATGCTGGGATCACAGAATGCAGCAGGAGCCAGCCTGGCCCCATGGGTCTCAGCTTGCTCCTGCCTTGCCACTGGCCCTGACCCCTGGGGCCCTGTGCTAGCCCGTGCTGACACTTTCCTCCTCTGCACCGGCCCCTGCTGCCACTTCTCCCCCCCGCACTGGCCCCTTTTGCCACCCACCCCTGCACTGGCCCCTGCTGCCACTCGCCCCTGTGCCGTTCCCTGCTGCCACTCCCCCCCCCACCCCTCCGTGCCGGCCCCTGCTGTGACTTTCGCCCTGTGCTACCCCCCACTTCCACTTTTGCCCCTGTGCTGACCCCGCTGCCACTCCCTTCTCCTGCACTGACCCTCGCTGCCATGCCCCTACGTCTGCTGCTCCCCACCTGCACCTGTAGCACCATGCAGTTCCGGCTGTAGGGCTGGGACCATAGGACACAGCAGGAGCACCACACGGCAGCCAGCTGGGAACCTCATGGTGCTGGTTGGCTCTTGCGGGACCAGTGATCCTCCCCTCCCTCCACCCATTCTTACCTGAATTTCTCTCTCTGGCAGAGGGAGGCGAGGAACAGGCCCAGGGTCCTAGGCTAGATGCTTCTGCTAAGGCAGCTTCCGGCTGCGGGGGTGGGAGGGTGGGGAGGAGTGGGGCTGGTGGGCCTTGCTACTGCTGCCACTGGCTCCTGCCAGCAGCATCCCCCTGAGTCCTACTGCCCCTGTCTTCTGTCATCTTTGACAGATTCCTCAATACATTTTTGAGGAAAATGGAAGGGATAGGTCTTTGGAAGTGAATCAGCTAATGGGACCATTGGCAAAAATGTGAATGAAACTATATCAAAGAGTACAGAAGAAAAGGGGAATGGTAGGGTTTTCTTGCCTTCATTACTACAGGAATTTGCCATACTGCATGGGGAAGCAAATCCTTGTATTTGTAGCCTGATCACAAGTACTTCAGCACTTATGCTTTTCTAAAGCCTACCTCTTCACCAACTAGTCATAAGTAAGGTCGCCTAGACAATATTTCCTAACTTTTAAGTGCTCAGCTAAACAGTTTGTGCTCTTACGGCATGTTGGGGAAGCGAGGCATTATGTGTAATTTAAGTAGGGAGTTGCTAAAAAACTGCAAATGCAAATTCCACCATATGAGATCATATGATACATGCACACCTAACAGGGAGAAAATCTTTGGGAAATCAGCACAGTCACTTCATCTGATTTCTGTGTTCCTTGTACATCTCCTCCCCCTCCACGTTTTTGTCTCAGGTTCCTGCTAATCTCAGCTCAGGTTTCAGTTTCACATCCTCACTGTCTGTTTCACTAGTTCTAGCCACAGTCTATCCCCCAGAGCCCTTGTCCAAACCGCTTCTTTCTCTTCTCTCTATCAGTTCAGGCTTTTATCCATTCCTTAGTCAAGTCAGAAAGTTTCTTCCATAGTGCTGCCTGGACTATAGCAGGGGAGGTTGGAAAACACAAGATAGGTAGTATCATAGGCTACTTACAGATGTGACCACCCCCCCCCCCCCAAACTCACTTTAAGCTTGGTGTGCCCCTGAAACAAGCACAGTACATGCCCAGAAGAGACATCATGTTAGTTTGACCCCACTTGCCCACCATCTATATAGATCACATGCTTCAGCAGGGCTTTTTGATGCCTTTATTGTTTGAATCAGCTATTAGATAAAAGCATCAAAAAGCCCTGCTGAAGTACGCGATCTACACAGATGCTGGGGAGCCTGGACAGACTAATGTGCTGCTTCTTCCAGTATAGTGCTGGGGTTCTATTTTCCATGTCTGTCAGGAGCCTCAGCTCTCTGTTCATGTCTTACTGGGTGGGATGTTTGGCTTAGAACTTCTCAGCTTACTCTTGAACTCCTAGCTGATGTCTCACAAATGGAAATATTCATAGGCTACTGTGACAAAGGTAGATGCCATTGGCTCTTTGAGCATGTTGCCCCTGAACAGTCACCAAAAGAACTGGGTATGCGTGAAAATCCCACAGGCCCTTATAATTTGTGTTCAAATGTTTGACTCTGTAAGTTTGGGGATACTTGTATAGGCCAAGTAGGCTTTACGTTTCTGGAAGGTTCCTGAAACCATCAGTTGCTGAGGGCTACATAGCACATATGTGTATATGCAGAGGCAGCATTCTCAAAAAAAACACATTTACTTTTGTGAATAACATTTCTTTATTCGTCTTGGACATCTGAACCATTATAGCTG